TAAAAACAAGATTTGGAATGAAACAATATAAATACTCTAATAGATTTACATATAACAAAAGAAAATACTAACAACTATAAATTTAAGGATAAAACTTGTATTAATTTTGTGCTCATCATGAAAGATTGGATCGAGTAGTTTGTAATTTGGAGTGGAGATATTGCTTTGCTGAGGAAGGGGTTTAGGTGGAAGACGATGCTGAGATAAAAGCTTTGGTAGTAAGATACTTTTCTAACCTGTTTTTTCAGTCCAGTTGTTTGCCTACTAATATTACCATTCCTAATTTGTTTCCTAGAGTTGATTCTTTGGATTTGCATGGGTTATTGAGAAGTGTTACTGCTGAGGAGATCAAAACTAGCTTATTTAATATTGGTAGCTTAAAAGCTCCGGGAGCTAATGGTTTTCCAGCTAGTTTTTATCAACATAATTGGGATATTTGTGCTGCTGATATTGTGGATATGGTTCTGAAAGCTTTTCAGGATTGTTTTATTCCTAAGGAATTGAATTACACCTTTATTTCTTTGGTCCCTAAGGTGGAAAATCCTTCATCCATGCTTCAGTTTAGGCCTATCAGTTTGTGTTGCACTTTGTACAAAATTATCTCCAAAATTATTGTTTGTCGTTTGAGACCCTTCATGGCCCAATGGATCAGTCCAAACCAAGTTAGTTTTGTGCCTGGGAGGCACATAACTGACAATATTTTAATTGCTCAAGAGATGATGTATAAGTTTAGGGTTTCTAAAGGTAAGAAAGCTTTCATTGCGTGGAAGATCAACCTTTCTAAAGCTTATGATCGTTTAAACTGGAAGTTTATTGAGTATGTTCTTGAGGAAATAAGGTTGCCTGCCCAATGTAGAAAGCTGATTATGGATTGTGTTAATTCCGTAAGATACCAAGTTTGTGTTAATGGGGAGCTTACTGAAGGTTTTATGCCTAGTAATGGTATTCGGCAAGTAGATCCTCTCTCCCCTTATTTGTTTGTGTTGTGCATTGAGAAATTATCGCATATCATCTTTGACTCTGTGAATAGAAAGTGTTGGAAGCCTGTGAAGACCTCTCAATCAGGGCCTACAGTTTCTCATTTATTTTTTGCTGATGATTTGGTGTTATTTGCTGAAGCTAGTATTAATCAAGCTCGAGTTATGAAGGGATGCCTTGATCTATTCTGTCAAGTTTCTGGTCAATTGGTTAACTTTGATAAATCGGCTATCTTTTGCTCTCCCAACACTAGTATGGAGTTAGCTAGAGAAATAAGTGATATTTGTGGTTCCCTTTGACTACTAATTTAGGGAGGTATTTGGGTATGCCCCTGTTACACTCTAGAGTTACGAAAGGTACATTTACTGGTATTGTGGACAAGGTGCATAAGAGACTAGCTTCTTGGAAAAGTAAATTGTTGTCTTTGGCTGGTTGTACCACTTTGATTCAAGCTGTCATGTCTGCTATGCCTATGTATGCGATGCAAACTGCTAAATTGCCTATGAGTACCTGTGAGGAGTTAGACAAGCTTAATAGGAATTTCTTTTGGAGAGGAACTGATGCGAAGCATAAGGTTCATCTCTGTCAGTGGGATTTGGTCTGCAGGCCTAAGAATAAGGGTGGTTTAGGCTTCAAGAATTCTACCAGTCTGAATCAAGCTCTACTTGCCAAAATTGGTTGGAGAATTCATAGTAAAGACAAGGGATTATGGGTGAAGATGTTTGAGGGCAAGTACTTAAAAGGCCAATCCATTCTTCATCCTTCCTTACCATGTAAGAAGGATGGTTCTTCTACTTGGAAAGGTATTATTTATGGTGCTCAGCTGCTTAGACAAGGTATGAGTTGGAGGCTTGGTCGGGGTGATAATGTTTTGTTTTGGAAGGATCATTGGCTCCGTGAGGGATAACCCAACATTCTCATTCTTCTTACTCGTGCCACAGTGGAATAACCCAACATTCTCATTCTTCTTACTCGTGCCACAGTGGAATAACCCAACATTCTCATTCTTCTTACTCTAGAGAAAGAGAACACAAAGGCTCGAATCCTCAAACATAAATTAGGGATTTAATTGAAAATTTCTCATATGTGCGTAAAAGTTAATCGATTGAAGGAGCTGGTTACACAACCAAAATGACAAAGAGCATAGGAGAAGGCAGTGGAAGCTTGAACAAACCAGGTTAGAAAGAGCTTGATTATTGAACTTAGTTTCAATTTGATATAGGGGCCTTCAATGGTTAAAGTGTTTGTTGCTTTCAATGCTTTGTTTTTTCAATTGTTTGCATGCGTTATTTCTTATCCCTAATTTGTAGCCTTAACTTAGTTTCTCTGGTCACTAATCACTTCAAAGTGAATGTTATTAATATTGATGGTTACATCATCCACTACCACTACAGTGTTTCTGGTCCCTATAAAGATGGTCGTCCTCTTGGTGGCAAGGGTGCTGGAAGAAGAATAGTCGATAGGGTGCTTGAGACTTATCACTCTGAGTTAGGTGGAAAGGACTTTGCTTATGATGGGGAGAAGAGCCTCTTCACTGTTGGTTCCCTTCCACGAAACAAACTTGAATTTGCCGTTGTGCTTGAGGATATGCCATCGAACAGAAATGGTGGAAACACTATCCCGGATGGACATGGGAGTCCAAATGAGAATGATCGGAAGAGATTAAGGCGCCCAAATCAGTCTAAAACATTCAATGTAGAGATTAGCTATAGTGCAAAAATTCCCATGAAAGTAAATGGAGATGCTCTGTGTAGTCAAAAGTCAGAGAATCCCCAAGAAGCTCTGAGAGTACTAGACACCCTATTAAGACAGCATGCATCTAAGCAAGGGTTATATATATCTTTCCATTTAAATCCAAGTACCAACTTGTTTCGAACTTCTGGTATCTATACATTTTCATTCCATCTAATTTAATCAAACGTAAGTGTGTTGAGAAAAGGGCATTAGAACGTTGTTAGTGATCATTAGAATAAGGGGGACCTCAATCAAGCCAGCACCCGGATATATCTTGCAGACATTATTCTATGTTCATTTTTACTTTATTTGGTTGATTATAGTCTGGAAGATAGAGATAAATTAAGCTTTGGAAGTTTACCCTCTTACATTAGCCATTGTTCACATAAGGGATGAGGAGTATGCACAGTATGTGTTGAAATCTTTAAACTCTTTGTAGAGGAAGACTTTTTAAATGCTTGAAATTCATATGGCAATATTGGGTGGTCCGTTTTATTTATGGGTCGACCCAAATCATTGACGCAATTTAGATGGTAATGACAAGCTTTAAATACGTAAATTTTAGACAGCTGATGAGTCTTGAGTTTTATCAAGCTGCATCTGAGGTGTGAATATATGGTAGATACTGGCATGCCTTCGTTGATCTAGACTAGTTTGAGCTAAGGGTGTTGAGAGATGCTTGATTTATTTTCATTTTATTCGGAAAATCATGAGGATATTTTTGGGAGGATAAAACTTTCATGACTATCTGGAATGCGTTATTTCTCATTTGTAGGTTTTGAAGAAGATATGGAAATTAAATCCAAGTGGATCAAGTTAAATTGGTTGAGACATGTTTAGTTTGTCTTTACTATTATATATATATATATATATATATATATATATGTGTGTGTGTGTGTGTGTGTGTGGATAAGGGGGGTACCTATGAATAAATGGAAACGAGATTTTAAGAATGTCATCTTTTTATTTTTGGTGAACAAAGAATGTCATCTTTTAATATAAGTAGTAGATTATGAAAGTGCTTTAATTGTTTTATTCAATAGATGTTTGTTGGGTAAAAGTTGCCTATAAACATGGTGAGATGGATGATGATTACAAGTCGATAAAAGATTCTTTTCGAAGAATTGTGTTGCTAACGTCGTCTGTCGATTCTAATGAAAGAGGAAAATAACAGTTTTCCCTCTGAGAAGTACTGGAAATACTGAATCCGCTGAGATGAGATAAAAATTGCCAGGAGCTTTCAAAGGTTAATTCATTTCATAAAAGAAATTACGGGAGCGAAATTGTCAGAGAAAGTCAATGGACAAGTTACCTAGAAATGAATGAGTTGTGAGCTTTTGTCTGATTATATAGGGGGTGTATAGTATTGCATGAGGTGGATGTTCACAACATGAACCAGTACCCTTTCCTGATTAGATCATGATTTGATTGCAAAATCTATAATTTTCCTCATGCCGATCACTTGCTTGGCCTTTTCTTTTGAACGCAACAGGTCCCGAATTTGGTTTCACCAGGATTTGATCGGGGGATTAGAGTCCTTAATAGCGAACAAATGTTGTGAGAGGTACTAGAGTCCCGACATTTAAGTTTGCATTTTGGTGATATTCATGTTTTAAAGGCCAGCTTTTGGAATGTTTTGAAGTTAAAGTTCCCGTCATATCAAGTTGTGGAGGAGGTTACTTGGGAATCCGAGTAGTAGGTGCGGGCCCAGTATCCATTTCCCTTCAAGTGACGAGCATGAAATTTTGAGGATGAAATTTTATAAGGGGGGTAGATTGTAACAACCCGGCCCTAAATTAATAGTTAAATAGTACATTATTCAAGAAAAAGACAATTTTACCTCGGGAATATTTAAATCATTTTAGTGTTGACCTCTTTGTTCAGGGAAGATTTTGGTGAAACTGTAACATCCGGTTCGAAAACGTAATAAAATAATTTAAATAAGAGGAAATAAATTGAAATGAACAATAAAATAAAATGATTTGAATTAATTAAGGTTTTTGAAAATTAAAATATTATTTAATATTAGAAAGGGGCAAAAAGGTCATTTTAAGTTCGGGAAGGAATTTGGAAATTCCATTTGTACCGTTGCGTAGAGTACATCGAGATGAGTCGGTAGACACGTAGTGGGTTCAAATCCAAGTTATAACGAGAGAGATACGATTAAAATTCAAGTATGGGCAAAATCGTAATTTTGCAAAACTGGTTTTAAAAACCAGAATTCTTCTCTCTCTCTCTCTCTCTCTCTCTCTCGTCACGAGCCCTCCACCTTCGTTTTTTTTTTTAGGACAGCCAGTGGCTTTTCAAGCCACCACCGCCGCCACAGCTCACGGCTGGCCATAGGTCCGGCCAAGATCGAACCTTCACTGCCTCCTCTCCCCACCTCGGCCAGTCCCAGCCATCATCAACCGCACCAGCCGCCGGAATTCGCCAAAATTGCACCGATTTTGTAGAAACTTACAGCCGTTCGTTCTCCTTCCTTCGGCCACCATTTCCGCCAAACAAGGTATGGATTTTCATCTATTTTTCTAGCTTTAGCTTATGGTTGGGTAGGATTGGAACGATTAATAGCCTAGGTAGATCAAATCACAATCCAAAGTTTGGCCGGTTTTCACTTTGAAATTCCGGCCACTTCCGGTCATTTTTTGGGGTAGGTACAAGAACAAAAGTGGCTCCAATCGATGTCTTGAACCTGTGGTAGGAATCTTGGCCGGCGGTTTGGAAGTTTTTCGACCGCCGGAAATTTATCTAGGCACCCACACGCTACCGGCGCGTGGGCCATGTGGTGGTCCGACATTGAATCCTAAAATGATCCCTATGTAGTCACGAACGCGTAGGTGTGCTCGGATTTCAATTCGGATATTGTTTAAACCTCGAATGGACTTCACCTATTGTGCGTTATCCGGGTTTGATATGTTCAAACCGTTGGATCGCTTCCAATTTTATACATGTTGATCTAGGCACTCCTAGGATCGTGTAGGATTTCGCGGATCTTGAATCGGAGCCCCGGATGTTCCGATTCAATAATTCAAAGTTTAATAAATGATAACTGTCTGATCGTACGATCGTGAGCAATCCGACCGTTCGATTTGGACCAAACTTGCAGGACAGGTATAGTAAACCTTATTGAATTCGTAGGAACTCTCAGATCGGAAATGGGAGGTCGTGGTCCCCACGGGCCCGGTTGACCTGATTTAGGAAGTTTGACCCTCGGTTGACCGTGAGTTTTCCGGGATAGTTTCACCCTTCGAGAAGTGCTAGAACGACCGTATAAACAAGGCTTGGCTAGTGGTGAATTGTTTTTATTATGTGTAGATTATAAGTTTTTTTTTTTGTTTATGTTGCTTCCTGGATAAAAAGGTTATTTTATAAATAATAATGATGAAGTCTGTTGTCGTGGGTTTTATTATATTTTGAATAGCTTGATTGTTTCTCTGCGCATACGAAGGTGATTAGTATTGGTTGTTCATCCTAAACCATAAATAGTATTAGTTGCTTTCGAATGGTTGTTCACCTATCGGGTCCCCAAATTGCCAATTGTGAATGGACCATGCAGTATTGCATTTCAATTGGAATGAATGTTCCTATGTTATAATGGTTTTATACTGTGTATGATTTGGCCGTGAATTAGCCAATTGACCTATAAATGAATTCTGAGCAATTAGGCAAATTTGCATCTAATGTAGTATTATGTATTGTCTTGCTGCACATAATAGATGGATCATGTATAGATAGTAATGCTTTGATTTCCATCTTTTCATGGTTTGCCTCATGGGTTCATGTATGAGTATAAATACCAATATGGTTTTCAACTTCACTACAAGAATACCCCCAGTTGCCTTGGTACAGTTTTGTCGTTTATACTCATGTCCCACGAGTTTCAGGGATGCATGAACCGTGTGGAGCGAGGATGTGCGATCTCGAGCTGACTACATGTCCCCCTAGTTCTGCGAGGAATGCGGCTCGAGTTGACCTTGTGTCAGCGAGGCTTGCGAGGAATGCGGCTCGAGTTGACTTTGTGTTACCGAGGCCTGTGAGGAATGAGACACAGGGAATTGACGGATTAATGTAAGAAACAAATAGAAATATAGCCTATTTCAATTGTAGACGTTGACATTCAGATTTCAAGCAATTAATGCTATTTTAATAAATTTTCCATTTTCCTAATTATATGTAATAAGTTAATTAAATATTTATTTAAATATATAAATATGTATATATATACATTATAAATTAGCCTTATGAGAGTTTAGAAAGAAAGGCTAAAAGTATTTTCGGAACTTAGAACTACGTGTGGCTTGACCCCTCAGTAAAGGTACGTAGGTAGCTTGGAGTCCCATCCAGGTGTAGCCGCGAACTAAAGTACTTCTGATTGTGTTGGGTTGTTAAACATTGTATAATGGAATTTGAGGAGTCATTTTACGTTAATTACGGTGGGTATACATGATTTAGTTCGAGTTTCATTACTGGCCTTGTAAATCTCCTTATTTGATTCAAGTGTTGTGCCGGTGGTTCTGTTTTGAATTATTGAAGGCCAGAGGCTTAGTTTGTAAACTGCTTGAAGGTTAACTTGTGCGTGCTGCTAGTTGGGGATATTAATTGTGTTTTAACAGGTAGAGAATTTTTGGGAAAAATTCAATTTACATGGGAGACTGTCGAATTTTTAACAAAGGCCAAACCCTAAAGAACTTTGGTTTCCATTAGAAGGGCACATTGGTCTAGTGTGCCCAGCACCCGCCAGGTGTCAGACACACACAGGGTCCGGCGCAGATTCCAAAGTGGAATTTGGGTCGGGTCCTGTCACTTTGTGGTGGGTCTTTGTCGGACAAAATTCTTTGTGCCAGCAACTTCAGTTATGTACTTCTTTTACAGAGACTCCCACAGTTCCTTGCTCTTGTATATATGAAGAGTAAACATCATACAAGGTGTCATTTAGTGAACTGAGAATATAATTCCTATAGAGAAACTCGAAATGTTTCCAAACATCAATAGCATTCAACTTATCTAAAGGTATCATATTCTCTATTGCCACAAGAACTTCTTCTTTGACTACATGAGCCAAATTCAGTGTTGTCAAGTAAAACAACATTTTCTGTTGCCAGCGTTTGAAATCCAACCCCTTTGAATTTCTCTGGTTCCCTTTTTTTTTGTTTTTTGAATTTCTCTGGATCCTTAACATGAGCTTTGACGCCATTGACTTCACACCATTTACAGATTCTCCCATAATGGTTTCTGTCTTTAGATTGTTAGGAACAATCAGTAAATGACTTATATGCTTAGGATCAATATATTAACACAGTGAACAATATTTATATAAAACAACAAATAGTACAAACTGCAAGAATGAAATAATACAGTAAATAAGAGAACATTGACTTTATTTCCAAATTGAGGCTTGTGTTGGCAATGTCTTAATTTCACCCTTTTTTAGTGCTTAAAGTTCAATGGACGTCTATCTCCCAGCATTCAACTATCTGTAAATCAAGGATCCAGCACCAGATCATTGATCTTTGGCGAACTTAGATGTGCTTCTTCTCCAAAAAGAATGCAAGAAAAATATGAAGTTGTATTCTTACGTTGAAAGTTAGTTTTTCGGACGGTTGGATATTGGGTATATATAATACTGTTCTTTAAACACAAAAATTAGAAGGCACCCCTTCAAACACAGCAGTTAGAAACCTGTTCTAATTTAACTTGAAACTGAAAGGATATGTCTTATCCTCTTAATTTGAATTCTATTGTGCAAAAATAAAAAGAAAAACAAATAAATTATTTATCGACCCAACTTTCGGATGAAATCAGCTCGAGCACTTTCTGTTATAAAAGGCTTTGCCTTTTATAAGGCTACGATAACTTTTCTTGTTCTCAGTGCTTTTGGATTGGAGGGTACATGGGAAATAGGAATGATATTGTAGCCAATTACGAACCACCTCCTCAAAATAACACACAAGTGTTCTTGTTAGATATTATCCTTGTACAAATGGAATGCTGCTCATGTGTATAGACGGTATGTAAGTTTAAAGTAGTATCTCCTTTAATACTTATACAATTAGTATTCACATCCATCATGACCAATCGAAACTGAATATGGACTTCTTTTTTAAATCAATACGGGAGGAGATTTGAACTTAGGACTTCTTTTAAATATTCTTTTGTTTAGTTTGACTTTTTAACTTTATTGTATGGTCGGTCAATATGCCGCATAGATGGTTGGGATTTTATCTATCCTCGTATAAGCCTTAGGCTTTTGTCTTAAGCAAAGAATCTGAGAAATACCCAAAACTGTCTAAGAATTTTACTATACGAATAATTACGCAACAACAAGAATTACATAATCGAATAATAACGTAAAAGTTATAAAAAAGTGAGGAAAACATAATTCACAAACGAATAAAGAAATGTATGATTACTGGGCTGAATTCAAGAATCCCATAGGACGACGATGTTCAAAAACAAGCATCCAAGAGACAACAACAACACAAGGCAGCACAGCATCCCTTCCAGAAGCCATCACCCTTGGACTTGGTTTCTACAGGTCCATGATGAGCAGAAGCAGGATTTGGAGCATCTCTTTTGGGATAACCAGCAGGTGGCGGAGCCTGCACGTAATAAGGTCCGGGCGCCGTCGAGTAAGGTTGGGGATGAGGAGGGTATGCTGCTGCGGAATTAGTCGACGAACTCATCTTAGTTGAAAATTAAGCTGATTATTTGTAGTTTGGGTTTGGTTTCTTGGATGGTTTGATTTGATGAATGAAGCCCCATTTTATATATACATGAAGAAAACCAGATGAGAATTGGAGTAGATGTTCGTTTCCTAGAAGGTTAAAAATTCTAGTGTCTTAACGCGGGCGACTACACTACACCGCGTTCAAATCCTATTACGTATGTGGAGAAGAAAAATACAAAATGTTTTGTTCTCATTTACTTTTGGACTAGCCAGTGGAAGGTACATAGGAAAGAGCAAATCATATATTATATCCAACTCGTGAGAGGATATATATCCATTACAGTTGGCTTGTAAAAAAGCTTTGGCTCCTTCTCAAGATAAATTGGTTTTTGACACTTGTCATTTTCATTTCATTTTTATTATTTTTGAGGTTCTTTTAATTTTTTTTGTTTTGAAATTTGACAAGTGTCAAAATCCCATTTGCTTTAAGAATGAACTCCTTAGTTTTAAAGAGCCAAGCTTTGCGCGTCTCGCTTTCTAGAAGTATTCCTCAAGATGGTAACCTACTTCGTTGTTTGTAGGTTAAAGCCAAAACAACTTGCAGTCACTTGATATTTATCCTTTACAAATAAATTACACTACGTTTCACACGTGGATAAAAACTTTTTATATTAAATTTTTTAGTTTCTTTTTTTGCCGTCACATTTGCATCAATGATTTCATTCACGTTTTATAGTTATATAACACTAGTGCAAGCAAGGGCTTAGTCAAGTTGGTCGAGCAGCTGGTAGGCGCCTTCAAGGGGTCGCACCAGCAGCTCAGCATAACCTCTGCAGTCATTTCATGACTTCCAAGACCCCATGGTGGCTACGTCACTGCCTATTTTACCCAACACAGAAACTAACTCAAAAACAAAAACAAAATATGATAAACTCTCAGAAAATTTCCCATTCTTATATGACAACCCCAATTTCCACTACTACCTGGAAAAAAGCCTATCAAGCATAAGATCTTAGTAAGAAACACTGCTACTAGTTAACCGATAGCTTGTATCCATGGCATAAAGGGTGACATCAAAACTGATTTCAATCCCATGAGATGACACATAAATGGCAGTGTCATGGAAATCGCGTCAAGCTCCAGGTGGATTGATTTAAGGATTGCAGACTGTGTGAGGTTGAAGGCGGATTATGTGCCCAATAGGTGGGCAAAATCGAGTGAAGATCAAAGTTGGAAACAAGGTTCTTCAATCGCTACAAGGTTCCAGGAGTATTGCAATGGTCTTCAACAACAACAAGTGTCTGTGGCTGAACTGAACAAGAAGATGACAAATGGCTATAGTGACAACTTCTTTGGATTCACGCTCTGACTTCTTTTTTAATTTTTAATTTTTTTTGTTTAACTTTTCTTTATTTTAGTTATCAAAAGGTTAATTTAGGATAATGGTATAATAGGAAAGAGAAAGATAAAAAAGAACAAATTTGATTAAAAGATATTAAAAAGAAAAAGGGAGTGTAAGTGGAGAAAAGGGCAGAGGGAAAATCAACTCCCTTAATTTTTTAACGTCATAAAGCTTTTCTATTTATTTTTTGCATTGGAATTCATAAGACATATTAAGGAAATGAAACATTAGCCATTGTTTTTATTTTGGGTTAATCGTTTTATTAGTCCTTGAACTTCAACCCGATTTGCATTTGTGTCCCTCAATTTCCAAAATAGTTCCCTTGGTCCTTTAACTTCACTTCCGTTAGGACAAATGGCCCTGCCATCAATTTTGTTAACTTTTTCTGTTAAATGTAGGGATAAAATCGTATTTTTATATTAAAACCAAAAAAATGAAATTAAAAATTATATCTTTAAAATAATAATAAAATCAAATCAAATAAAAAAACCAACCAGAAAAAGAAAGAAAAATCAAGTTTTGGGGAGTAGAAATCGGGATAGAGGGGGAGAGAGAGTGTTTAATTTTAATTTATTATTCATATTTTAATCAATTTTGATACAAAAATACCATTTTGCCCCTGTATTTAACAGAAAAGTTAATAAAATTGACGGGAGAACCATTTACCCTAACGAAACTGAAGTTGAAGGACCACGGGAACGATTTTGGAAATTGAGAGACTCAAATGCAAATCAGGTCTAAATTCAGGGATTAATAAAATGATTAACCCGTTAAGATTGTTGGGTTAAGCAATATGTCCCACATTGGGAATGTAAGCCTCTAAAATATCTTTTATACCATGACCAATGCCCCAATTGAAATGATGGTGTGAGTCAACCATGACTTCCAGTTACTGGATCTAATCCTCCATAAAAAGTAAGAAATTCCACATATTTTGACTAATTCAAGGTGAAAAATGGTGTTGCTCCTTCAATAAACTGGGATAAAGTTGAGCCAAAAGATCCCGATTCAAGATAAATTCATGAGAAAATGGAAGTAAACAATATCTTATATTTTCAATTGATTTTAGATTAGTTGATTTCCATATATTAGCTGCAAATGAATAAATTTTATTATAAGAATCATTATACAATAAAAGAATTGGACAATCGGAATATCACTACATGGGGAAATCGACATGGCCCCTTCCTTATATAAGTATAACAAGGTAAAAACAGAAATAAATGTGTGAAATAGAATTCACAAATGAAAGATATATGTGATTATTGGGCTCTCAATTCAAGAATCTCCTGGATGATGTTCAAAAACATGCATCCAAAACGCAACAGCAGCACAAGGCAGCACAACATCCCTTCCAGAAGCCATCACCTTTTGACTTTGTTTCTACAGCTCCATGTCCATGGGGATTTGGGGCATCTCTTGTTGGATAACCAGCAGGTGGTGGAGCCTGCACATGATAAGGACCCGGCGCTGTAGAACAAGGTGGGGGAGGGTATGCTGCTCCAGAGTTAGTTGATGAACTCATCTTTGAATAATATTTCTAAGGGCCTTCAAAGTATTCTATGGAGCTAGAAGAAGAAAATAATGAAAACAAAGAGAAATGCTAAATTGAGTTTGGTTTATTGCCAAAGTATTGGATGGAGCTAGAAGCAGAAAGGAATGAAAACAAAGTGAAACACTTAGCTGGGTTTGGTTTGTTGGGTAGATGACAGATGAAGCGCAATTTATAGATCAAGAAAAGCAGATGACAATTGTTGGAGTGGTTGTTTCTGGGAAGATATATATTTGATATCTTATTAGTGTCTTTTACGCGGGTGGCTACAGTGTACACCGTGTACCTATGTGGGGCAGTTCACACCCCAAAAAGAAGAAATAAGAAAGAAAGAAGAAAAAAAAAAAAAGACTACTAAGCAAAACGCAGTGGGCCTATTCTGTTCTCATAATTACTTTTGGAGTGGACGACCTACGTAGGAAAGAGCAATTATATTATGAAAAATACTTCTCTCCATTCCTGCAAGTAAAGTAAGAAGTTCCTTAACATACCTATTAGATAAACACCTAATGGGTATGTTAAGGTACTGAAAATACTACGAGATCTTTATTTGATGTAAGATGTACTAATAGCCTATAAGATGAGGTCTGATGAGACGGAAAGCACCCACTGCTCATCATGAGTTTCAATCTGAATCATCATTCATCTTCAATTTTTCGTATGAACATAAGCCTAGAATTTGGTATTTTTAAATTCTTGCTGATCAAAATCTTCATCATGAGATTAGTGAGTGATTAACACTGTTGAGGAATGCTTTTCTTCCCACCTCATGAGCATCATTCGATTTCTACAACCAACATTATATTAAAAAAATTACTTCTAGAAAGTGCCACTATCCTAGAGAAGATATTCTTTCTTATTGCAAATCACAGTTTGAAACATGTGCAAAAATAATTCATAAAAAACACAAAAAGAAAAACTTCTACACGCATGTCAAACTGCCGTTAATATAAATGTCGAAACTTCTTCCTTTACTTACGGGGAATGGAGGGAAGTATTTTCTATAATATAATTGCTCTTTCCTACGTAGGTCGTCCACTCCAAAAGTAATTATGAGAACAGAATAGGGCCCGTTGCTTTTTGCTTAGTAGTCTTTTTTCTTTTTATTTCTTTCTTATTTCTTCTTTTTGGGGTGTGAACTGCTCCACATAGGTACACGGTGTACACTGTAGCCACCCGCGTTAAAAGACACTAATAAGATATCAAATATGTATCTTGGGCCCGTCGTGGTGGTGTTACTCTTCGAACGTCTTGTATCGACCATGGTTGATTGGAAAAAGTTGTGGAAAATGAATACTTTGAAGGCCCTTAGAAATATTATTCAAAGATGAGTTCATCAACTAACTCTGGAGCAGCATACCCTCCCCCACCTTGTTCTACAGCGCCGGGTCCTTATCATGTGCAGGCTCCACCACCTGCTGGTTATCCAACAAGAGATGCCCCAAATCCCCATGGACATGGAGCTGTAGAAACAAAGTCAAAAGGTGATGGCTTCTGGAAGGGATGTTGTGCTGCCTTGTGCTGCTGTTGCGCTTTGGATGCCTGTTTTTGAGCATCATCCAGGAGATTCTTGAATTGAGAGCCCAATAATCACATATATCTTTCATTTGTGAACTCTATTTTACACACATTTATTTCAGTTTTAACGTTGTTATACTTATATGAGGAAGGGACCATGTCGATTTCCCATTTAGTGATACTACGTACCGATTGTCCAATTCTTTTTATTGTATAATGATTCTTATAATAAAATTTCTTCATTTGCAGCTAATATAAGGAAATCATTCATGAATTTATCTTGAATCGGGATCTTTTTGCTCAACTCTATCCTAGTTCTACTGAGGGAGCCACCCCATCTTTCACCTTGAATTGGTCAAAATATGTGGAACCTTTTTACTTTTTGTGGAGGATTAGATCCAGTAACTGGAGGTCATGGCTGACTCACCACCATCATTTAGCTATTGCAATTCCTTATACCTGATAGCGGGTCACATGTATAGAACCAACTAGGGCATTGGTCATGGTCTAAAAGATATTTTATAGAGGCGTAATCATTCCCAATGTGGGACATATCGCTTAACCCAACAATCTTAATTGGTATAATGCGAAGAAAAAAAAAACAACGACTGATGTTTCATTTCCTTAATATGTCGGAAGAATTCCAATGCAAAAAATAAATAGAAAAGCTTTATGACGTTAAAAAATTGAAATTAAACATAACATTAATTAAATTCAACCTGAAATGTAAACTATGCATAATTAGGTAAAATGTCAAAAAAGTGTATTTTACTTTTTCTGGGCCGTTGGATTTCAAAATGCATATTTAACATCCCAAGATTTTACATTTTTTCACTACAGCAAAATGGTTTTACATCTTGAATATTCCCATCAAGATACCACCGAAGATGTAAAAGTGTCACTTAATTACATCCTTATTTTTACATATTTGCATTGGAGATGCTCTTATACTCTTCTTCAGTTTGTATTATAGAGATATGGAAAACAATTTCTTGAACAAATACAATTGCAAAAAGTAAAATAAAAGTCACATGTGCACGTGTGCACTATTGTTAATTTTGATACAAGTGATAATCTATTTCAATTTAATCTAAATTAAGGGAAGGGGGGATTCAAACTCATGTGCAAAGTGGGGAGCATATTCGTTCTAGCCAATTTGGTTAAGCCCATGTCTGCACTCAGTGGCAGACCCACAAAGGCACAAGGAGATGCAGCTGCAGCTTCCCACGCCAGAAAATTCCTTAGAGTGTAAGACGAAAAAAGGCGCAGCCAGCCAGTGGCTATGGAGTCTAAGGCTCAGGTTTTCGCGAAGAAGAAGACCAAACCTAATTTATTTTCTAGAACGACACCGTTCTCTTTCTTTGATCTTTTTTAATGAAACACATCGTTTCATTTAAGTCTGAGTTATTCAAAAGCAAGCCTGTGTTTTGGTGGTAAAGCCCAAAAAGATGGGCTTTCAATAACTTATAAATATGTGTAAGAACATATCTAACATTTATTAATAGGTTTTTGTTTGGTCTGAGAAAAACTTTGGAATTCACTATTAAAATAGGTTACAGTTTTTCGTGTCCAATTAATAGCATATTTAATATAGATATTTATTAATAGGCCATTTTTATTTTTTTGGTCTTTTTAATTGTTATGTCATCTTCATGTAGTGTTAATGGATGAGTAACATATATTTTTATATATTCTTTTTAAAAATAATTCAAGTTCAAAAGGTTAAATTTTAAGGATACTTAATTATCTAAATACTTTTTTTTTGGAGCATTTAGTCTATTGTTATGTCATCTTCCGCCACTGTTTAGGGTCATAATTCATTTACTTGGCTCAAAGCCTTGAGAGAAGTAGTTGTTCATGGATGATGCATGTAAGGGGAGGACGCCTTAGTTCCTCCTCCCCTCTCCTCTCCTCCTTCTCACTTCTTCCTTCTCCTATTTTTCTCTCTCTCTCCTCAGTGAGAGTTCTTCCTCCCCTTTGTGAGAGTTTATGTTATTTTCTGTTAGTTTGTTTTGCTCCTTATTTCTCTGAATCTCCTCCAACTCCTTCCCATACCTCTGATCTCCCTCGTCTCTGACTCTTTGTGTCTCCAAATGCCCTCATCTATCTATTACATCTCCCTCAAGTTCTTCTCTTCCCCTTTCCCTATGTTTGACTTTCTCTACTTTTTTCTCTTCACCCACACCTTAAATTTCCCTAAATTATGCCCAAATCTGGAAAACCCACATATGCACTTCCACTCTCCTCTTCTTCCCCACTCATAAATGTTGTTCTTCAATCTACACTTCTCACCTCTACATCCATTGCCCCTTCTCTGTTATGTTGTTCTCCACACATTCCCTCTGACTGTGTCCCAACCCGAGATCTTAACCACCAGCCACTGCTCCTTGGCTCCATGGATGAGAATGCTTCAAAAGTGCTCTTTGCACTTGCTTCTAGGATTATGGTAGCGCTCTTTGCGTGGGTGGTTTGTCCACCACCATTCTCCGTTCTAAGTAATGGTTTGTCTGGTTACTAGTTACCCATCTCTGGCGGTTGTGGATTTGCGACGGGGGTGTGGCAAGGGGAAAGTGGCGGCAAGTTTTTATTTCTGTTGGGCTGAGGCTCGTATCTATCAGTGTTGGGCTTATTTTTATTTTTGTATTTTCTGACTGCATAATCCCTTTCATCTTTATGAAATGAATTACCTTGAAAAAAAAACAAAAAAACTTAACATACCCATTAGATAAACACCTAATTATCATCTATATTACATTATGATAAGATAGGATGTGCGCACATAACTTACAATTTATCCTCAAAGTAGTGTTTATCCCAAAATTCCCCTAGCAATAGGCCGAAAGGTTGTATTAGTTGCGAGCGTTCCAATCTGAGATAAATAAAAGGAATCAGAATTCAAAGGAATCAGACCTTGTTAGAATCCAATCCGAGATAAGGTAGCAAATTAACTAAAAGAGAATATATGACAAAATAGGCCAAGAAATGGAGATCAAATTAACATCATCAACTGAGGGAACTGATATGACAGCAAGGTGAATTAATTCGAAACCATTCATCACGTAAAAAAGAAAAACCAAGTAATAGTAAAATAGAAACTCAAATTACATATAGATGGAGTTCAAAAGCAAGCATCCAACAGACAGCAGCAACACAAGGCAGCAGCACATCCCTTCCAGAAGTCATCTCCCTTGGACTTGGTTTCTACAGGTCCATGAGCAGCAGGAGGAGGATTTTGGTCATCTCTTGTGGGATACCCAGCTGGTGGTGGGGCCTGCACATAATAAGGTGCAGGGTATGCTACTGTGGTCTGAGTAGTAGCTGAACTCATTATCACTAAAGTAGACGATGGAGAGAAGAAAATCAAAGTGATGAAAAGAATGAACAGGTCAATACTAATTAATCAGGTAATTGGGTTGTTGAGAAGATGGCAGATGATGAATTTATATACAGAGAAAAATTAATTAACGCAGCTGAGAATCGGAGTGGTTTGCTTCTTAGAACTCAGAAGGCCGGTAATATTTTTGGTTGCCGGGCGGCAACAACGCGTACGTACACAGGGAAGAAAAAATAATAGGACGATTACAACAAGGCAAAGGACTGCCGCTTTGTTCAATGGGCTTCGATGTGTAAGTTGTAACTAGTCAAAGACCACAATCCCCAAATTTCCTTTCATTTTTTACTCCATCTGAATTATATTTCTAGGTATAAAAAGAGATGGTGATGTATGAGAAATTCCGTGACACCACCCCCACGTGTTATAATCAAATTCACTCATGTTATAACGGATTGAACTCTCACAGAAAATACTTTAGCGCGAATGCATATCATCAGGTGGTACTAGTCATATTTGAACCACATAAAAAAAAAAAAGTACATATTAACAAGCTTTGTTGCATCTAAACCGGATTATTTGTGTTTAACACTAGCTCGGCAAGTTTATTATCCTTATTAGTCAAGTACTGTATAGATCAACCCTAACATATACGTACCAACTTCATATTGCTCAATTCGAGCTGTGTACTTACAACGTCATGTTAAAATTATAACATGACTTTCACGGCAACCTCTAAACTATGGTGGGTGTTCTAGCAGCCAAACCTTAAAAAATAAATAAAGACAATGATAACAATTGAGCATTGCACCAAAGATCCGAAACAGTGGGGAAGCTGCCATGACAAACATCCAATATACTTACTCAAACATTATCATGCACATCGACAAAATATTGTTTGAACAAAAAATACATTGTTAATAATGCATTCCCCGTTATTAAAAATTAGTGACGCCGTAATACATAAAAAGAAATTTTTGGATTCATGGCATATATCCAATCACTCCGTTGAAAGACACAAAAATTAATTGTTTTTTTTAAGGTGTGCATTCATATGCCGGTGCTTTATATGCTGTAAATATCAGTTATTAACAATACACACAAAAAAGCGTGTTGTAAAAGCTCAATACCACTACAAGAAAAACGTTTATTAGTGGCCAGCAAATTGGTCACAAAAAGTATCGATTTTGGTCACTGAATAGAGCTAGTGTCCAAATATTGGTGGTCACTGGGTGGTCGTCACAAATTCTACTTAGTGACCAACTAAAACTATTGGTCAATACAACCCAAAGAATTAGTGACTTCCTCTGTTTGGTCATTAACAAAAAAGGTATTAGTGACTGCAACTTTGATCACTAAAGGGCTTACAATTTGGTCACTAAAACATGTATTTTGGTCACTAAAAGTGGATCACGTGACTAAATTACTGACCTACTTAGTTGGTCACTAATGTATTTGAAAAATTTGTAACTAATTGGTTTATTTTCCCTGTTCTTTGTTTGTGTAATAATATATGAAATAACATCTAATTCTTTTTCATACATAATGCTGTGGAAACAATTTTGATGGTAAAAAAAATAGTATAAAATAATTCATTGCATTAAAAAAATATCAACATTCTTCCACCAAATTCACAAGCTATCCAAATTTGAACAAATTCAAATCCAAGTCTAGACATACATCTCTCTCAAAAACAAACCTAGATGACTCTACAACCCAACCTAGATAGGTCAATTGATCCAAAAACATAAAAATAAGATTCACCACAGTTGAATGAGTGCAAGCTTCTGCTCTTCTGGTGGAACCTTCAAAAGCAGGCATATCATCCATCTGGTTGCAACTTCAACTCTTTTACCAACTGTTTACCAAACTATGTGATTCATCTGACCTGCACCACCAAGTCATGAATTAAAAAATGAAAAGAAATGGCAGCAAAAATGTAAAGCAACTTACGATGAGACATTGTGGTGCAATTGTTCATAAGATTTCCGCTGTTTCTCATATGAAGAGACATTTTCATCACTGAGCTCTCTTTTAGCATTAAGGAATTTGGCATTTTCATGCTCCATTTGGCAAAGTGACTAAAAGTATCACCAAAATGCATTAATTACAATCAAAACTAGTATTCCACTATTGAAATAAAGGAACAGATATCATTAGCAAGAAAATAAATTAGAAGCTCTGTCCAACATAGATAAAGCACACATATAAGGTGTAAAATCAACATCTAACCCTCTAGACCCAGAAAGAAAGATAGAAAAGTAAAACTATCTTAAGCTAGGCCACTTAACTCTTACAGGATGCTCGGATTGAAGTGGTTCTGCTACTGCACCATAATATGTTTGAAATGCTGCTTGTGAATTTTTTTTTATGCCCTGTTGTGATATTAAGGCCCTTAAAAAACAGCAGCTAAATGTCAGGATAGATACTATGGAATAGAAGGTAGCAAGATATTGACGCAGATCAAACCAAAATAGTGAAATGTGAAATAATGAAACAAACCAAAGAGATTCATACCTCTCCATGAATTTCTGGCTCAGAGAGTGGAAGGTTAAGAAACATTCTTCCCTGCCGAGCCAAACTAGCGAGAAGAGTCAAATTTATCTTAGTATCCCGATCCTTTAAGTATTCTCCACTGGTAGATCCTTTAAATTAATACTCATCACTGCTTAAAATGAATATAAGACAAGATTTTAAGTTTAGTCAGGCCATGAGTAGAGAAACCAATGTTGTTACCACTAAACAGCAATGTACAAAGTCAGCAATCTTAAATTAATAACCAAAAACAGAAAAACCAGTGCAACTAAATAATGAAATACAAGTCTCCTATAACAAGAGAAGTCATATGAAAGTTTATGTGAAAACGGTACAAGAGCACAATTGGATTTTTTTTTTTACTCTACTCTGTTAATAGGATTAAAATTTACTTACATGAGGATAAATAGAGATTGACAAAGATATTGATTGGCCAGTAATCAGATGTACGTTTAAATGATTTCACCAAGCTGACAGGAAAAACATAATAAAAATAATAAGTCACCTGTAGCTAAATTATCACAAGTCCACTGCTAGATGAAAATACATCAAATATAAAAGTCCAGCTTCAATAAATTTTGACCCTTTCAATTCCACTTTGGAATTTGACTCAAAATAGTAAAGGGATAAATATAGGCATGCGAATTAAATGGCTTAATATATTAAACAAACAAAATATGGCTACAAATACCACACAAAGCAGTAGATAAAAAAATTGCAAGAATCAGTGCAAGAATCAAAAAGTCAGAGAGCATAAGCTCACCAATAAGACTAAAGAAAAAGGCAGCATGAAGATGAAACCAAACAGCCAGAGATCCAAGAATTCTTACCAGAGGAGTTCATGGTCTCAAAAGTTGCTTTCAGAATAGGATCTCACTAGCTCAAGGTCGTTTCTCAAAATCAAAACATCTGCAACACCAATTAGGAAGTTAGAGCATCAAGCTTTAGGGAATCACAACTCAAAATCAAAATCACATCAAGCTCATCACATAATTTGAGCGTAATTTCATAGCTATCACACCCCTCTGTCTCTCAATTTTAGAAACCCTAACCCACCCATCCATCTATCAGTTTTCGAAACCCCAACCCATCCATTGCTAAGATTTGAAAACTTGTGCGAAAACTGAAATCAAACTCAGATTCCTAAAAGGCACCAAGATCGAAAGTAAAAGAATAACTGATAACCACAATGAAAAATACCTGAGCGATCTTTGAGCTATTCGTTGAAAACCAGGGGGAAATTTCTGTACCCAATCGTACAAACCAAAGTTCTTCGCCTGACCTGAGCACAAGACGAGGCTAATCGAACGACACGAATTTGAAATCAAGCTCAAATGACAGCAAAGAGGCCAAAACCTAGCTGATTTTCAGAGGGAGAAGGACACGAAGTTGAAATCGCACGCTCTCTCAGCTCCGGTTCTCTCGCTCGTACGCTCCGGCCTCCGAAAAGAAAGAATTAAAGTTTAAAAACTAAACTTTAATTGGTCACTACTAATATATCAAATAAGAGAAGCAAGTCTACCCAGGATTATTTGTGTTTAACACTAGCTCGGCAAGTTTATTATCCTTATTAGTCAAGTACTGTATAGATCAACCCTAACATATACGTACCAACTTCATATTGCTCAATTCGAGTTGTGTACTTACAACGTCATGTTAAAATTATCACATGACTTTCATGGCAACCTCTGAACTATGGTGGGTGTTCTAGCAGCCAAACCTTAAAAAATAAACAAAGACAATGATAACAATTGAGCATTGCACCAAAGATCCGAAACAGTGGGGGAACTGCCATGACAAACCTCCAATATACTTACTCAAACATTATCATGCACTGGTAAATGACCCACTAGTGTAGTGCTTTAAAGTATTTACTACCTCAGGCAAGGTCCTGGGTTCAAGTCCTAGCATCCGTGTAGTGTGTGTGAGTTTAGTATACTATCGCCCCTCTCAATAAGAAAGGTCCTCAAAAAACATTATCATGCACTGTACACATCAACATTAATATTGTTTTCCAACACAAAAAAAAACAAAAACAAAAAAAAAAAACAAAAAACAAAACATTCTTTTCTGAGAATTTAACCGTAATTATCAACGTCTAGTACCTAATTATTATTGAACTTCCACTAGAACTTAGAATTCTGAAGATGCACATGATTTTTTTTAAAAAATCAATGGTGAGTCTCATGTTCGTTAATACTGTGTGGATTCCTTCCAATTCCATCATTCTTAAGAGGTTAGTCAAATAAGAAATTTTGCAAATTCTGTAACTCTACATTTTCTTGGTACGTACTTTCAAATTTCTCATCCAAACGCCATATAACCATGAAGTCAAAATTCAAGCACTAGACATATATGCATTACAAGAATCGAGTACTATGAGTGCAAGGTGCTGACAACTAGGTAAAGTACTTCAGTAACTATTTTTTTCGTGAAATAAAGAACAAACAATCACACTAACGACAAAAAATTTGACAAGCAGTAGCGTCTAACGAGCATCATCCCAAACCCTAAAAACCCAAAAATAAAACAGAAAAAACGAGAGAAAGAAAGAAAGACAGATGTATATGACATATTGGAGTGAATGATGGGATTCAAAAACAGCAGCAGCAACAGAAGCCAGCAAACCAACGCTTCCAGAATCCGCCATCCTTCGTCTTGGTGTCGGTAGGTCGATGAGGAGGAGGAGGAGGAGGATTTGAGGCTGCTGTTTTGGGACAACGCGCAGGTTGTAGTTTTGAAGCCCACAAGTAAACAGGCTTTGGTGGTGTTGCCCACTTGTAATAAGAAGGTTCAGGGTATGCTACTGTGGATGCAGTACTTGAACTCATCTTTAAAAACCAGGAAGAGGCTCTTCAAAACCCGATAGGTCTGATCTGATCAAAACAATGGAAAGAATATTGGGAAAATACTAATTAACTTGCTGGGTGATTGGGTAATTGGTGGGATGAATTTATAGACAGAGACGAATTAAAGGAGGTGAGAATTGGTGCCTTTTAACGCGTCTACTTGCTTGGGGGAGAAGTAAGTCGAGATTTCAAGTACCACTAGACAAGGAATTCTACTACTATAACTATTTGTATTCTTTTTTGGTTTTTTTTTTTTTGTTGTGTATGTACTAGAATTACTTTATTTTTTTTATACAATCGAGAATCTAAATTACTGCAAAGTAATTTAATATACAGAAATTGAGGGTTCTAACTTTAGTGCAAGAGGCGGACTTACTGTCTTGACCAACTGACCTAACCCACGTATACATATATTAGAATTACTTTTGTACACATAAAACCAGTAAAAAGGCCACTATCCAGTAATTAATCTTCCTATTTTACTCTATCGTGTGAAAAAAACGAGATGGTGTGATTAGTGAAGGGACTACTTCATCTAATTTCAAATTGTTTTTTAATTGATTTTTTTAATTATTCATATTAATAATTTTCTGAATTATTTATTAATAAAATTCTTAATTACAATTTTATCCTTGTATAAATTACTTAAAATGTTCGACCAAAAAAAAATTACTTAAAATGACTGAAAAGAAATTGGCAACCCCCAAACTTTTTTCACGGTTAAAAAACCTAAAAACAAAAGCTAAGGAAATGTACTTTTATGATGATGAGTTTGAGTGAGAAAAGCTAAAACTCAACAAGGATGCCCTTATTGGTGGTATGTTGATGATAAAGGGTCTATCCCTCAAGTTGCAGAAGTCTCGGAACACTAGAAGAAGAAGATTGTTGAGTATTTTTCTTTCTGAGGCCAATGATCTGCTTGTTCAAATGTTTCCTCATTCCTAAAGTTGAAAGTTAAAACTCCCACTTCCATAATGCAGATGACACCAATAAGTCTCTGTAATACCGTACACAAAGTTGTTTCTATGCTTCTTGTTGAACAATGTATCATGGTAAAATTTTCCCTAGAATAGATGCATATGGACACTAACATGAAAATACACCAAAAAAATAAGGTTTTGAACATTTGATTAACTCAAAATGGTGTAGGATAAAGAGGTAGCAGAAGAAAATCACAATTGCCATTCAAATGCTGATGAATGGTAGTTCAAAAGTCAAAACAAAAACCCCTGAAGTTTTATATACACAACCCTCTTAAATCACTCAAAGCTCCACACTTTCTAAACTCAACTTTCTCTCTAGACTTCAAAACCTTATCTTTTCTACACTTGAAATTTTACACACAAAAAAAATTGAGAGTAACATTTAAAATAAGCACATAACAACCTTAAATATTTGACACAAATTGACCAGAATATGTTTCCTTTTTCGGCATTCTTTCAAGACAGGTGATGAAAATTGCTGTTGAAACCTCTGTAAGGCTAGGTGATCCTGAAAATGAAATCACGTCAATCAAAGCTTCGTCCAAGTTTCCATTCTGTTGCTGTCGCTGCATTGTGCTCACGTTTGATTGGTGATCACCACGTCCAAATTCATGGCTCATCTTCCGCAAGCTGCACATTGTATCCATGCTTTAGGTCTGTAACAAGTCAAGGTTTCCACGTAAAATGTTTAGATGTTCAATCTAATATGCCCGCATTAAAATACAAGAGGGTTTTGCACATGTTAACTAAAGCTTAAGAAGGAAAAGACAAAAGGTTGACAAAAGAGTATATGACAGTCGCAATAGGGATTCAAGATCAGCAAGCAATGGAATGTTGAAAACAACTCAATACCATCAGGAATTGACTGAACTTTATGACTCCAAGGTGAACTTTTCACAGCGTAAAATTTTAAGTAACAGGTTTAAGTTTGACCAATTAATGGATATGGAAATACAAATTTTGATAAGTTTACAACTATTTATACATAATATTCTATCATGACATAATCCCAAAGACTAAACTTTATCAAATATCCATCCAGTATTACACAGATATGAACAAACAATTATCAAACTAGAACTAACACTCTTGCAAATTCCCATTCACCTACAAGCAAGATTACACGAAATTCGTCCTCCTTCGATTTTCTTTAATCTAAGAGAGAAATCATGATTTACTTGTACTTCAGAAATAATATGAAAAAATTGAGGTTCCTACTGTTAGACAACCAGTAGCTCCAAAAGCTTAAGCTGTCAAAGAATGGGTCAACAATGTATATTAAGCTCACACCTACAACTGGTAAAATCAATGTGGAGAGTTGGATATGATATACACATGTATAGTTTACTAACCAATTTGGCCGGCCAATTACACCATCTACACAAAAATCACTGAATGCGTAAAGGAAGCTTCATTGAAGAGATGGTCTAGCCACCAGAAGGGATGAAGCAAGAATGTAACCATATATTACCAGGACCAGGGAAATGAAGGAACTAATAAAATAAAGGTGTTAGGTGGTGGAATATTTACTCCAACCTAATTGTATTCCACCAATACTATACAAAAACAGATTAAATGTTTATACCAAGTATTGAATATGTTTAATGATACCTTTCATTGAAGACTTATCATATTTCTCTTTCCTCTCATCATCATTCTTCCATTCACGATCATCATTCTTCCATTCACTATCATCTTTCTTCCATTCACTATCATCATCATCCTCATCATCATCATCATCATTGCCCATTTCATCTCTTCCATCATTTCCTATATCGCTCTCACTTGCTGTCTCCCATTCGGAATCATCGGTCTCTCGGCCATAGATGTCACCAGCATCACCCTCACAGTGGACACCCCCATGTTTGATAGCTGCCTCTCTAAATAACCAAGCTGCACGCATCTGCTTTTTAACCAATCGTTCCGCATAGTCAGGAACCTTATTTTGCCTCAACGAGAGATCAGGATCATTTGACTGAGAGCACTCGTTTATGAACAGAATGGCATCTAACAAACTCTCTTTTGCAAGCCCAAGCATGTCATAAGCCTGTGCTCTTCTCCAAAGACTTTTGGCATGACGGTTCAGTGGGTTGTGAAGACAAAGTGCACGAGTAGCATCACTAATAGCTGCCAAGGGCTGTTGCAACAGAAGATGACACTGTGCTCGATTACTGTAAAGAACAACTCTCTCCTTTTTGGATCTCATTGGACACAATGCCAACGCTTCTGAGTACTTTGATGCAGCTCCAGATATATTTCCTGATGAAAATAATGAATTTCCTTCAAGCTTGACCACTAGAGCTGCTGCCTGTTTAATATGGAGATCCTCTTTAGGCATATTCTTTTCCCATTTCAATCTCTGTCTGGAATTCAACAGTTCCTCAATCAATTCCTTCGTTCGGTTATTGAAAGAGTTGCGTCCTGTCCCTTGTGACTGGACACATTCCTCAAGAACATTAACAATGGAATCTCCAAGCTTCTTGTGATCACCCAGAGTTGTAATCTCCGCAAGGTCAACAAGTGCAGGTACAGCCTTATCAATCACCTATATAATAGTTTCAGTAGCATTAGGTACGTTATACATTATGATGTCATACAAGATATATATACTACAATAATAGGTTAGTTTATGAAGTGAAGTATTCTGAACTCGTGCATACAAAATGTAATAGGGCAATATTTACAAATTCTTTTCAAAGAAGATGATCATAATTACTGAAATTGGAGAGAAACTCTGAGAACATCTCTTCCACCAATGAGATTTACAAAAACTTAAACAGGACAATGCAGCTCTTCATAACTTC